GCTGTCCCCAGCCTGTCGCAGCCAGTGCTGTGTGTGGCACTGCCACCAGGGCTGTCCCCAGCCTGTCATAGCTAGAGCTAGTGTGGCACTGCCACCAGAGCTGCTCCCACTGCCCCTCTTTTGGAAGAACCTCTGGAACTGTGGGAATTGGGGAGCTCCTGCTCTGTGCCAGGGGGTTTGGGGGATTCTGGGGCCAGTTCAAGAGGAATTGTGCAGGCCTGGGGCTGCTGGCATTGAGCTCCTTGCAGTTTGAATGTATTCACTTAGAAATCTTCTCAAAGGCAAATTCTGTCTTTCTCAAAACCCATAAACTTCCAGCCTCATTTTTTCATAGAGTCATGGAGTGGTTTGAAGGAAAGGATGAAACACGTGAAACACCATCTCACTGCACCCCAGCCCTGGCAGGGACACTCCCTCTGTCCTAGGAGCTCCCAGCCCCAGTGCCCAGCCTGGCCTTGGGCACTGCCAGGGATCCAGGGGCAGCCACAGCTGCTCTGGGAATTCCAGCCCAGCCCCTGCCCACCCTGCCAGGGAACAATTCCCAATTCCCAATCTCCCATCCAGCCCTGCCCTCTGGCACTGGGAGCCATTCCCTGTGTGCTGTGTGTGTGCTGCTGCTGCCATGTAACTCCTGGGGTTTGAACACCTCCAGTTACAAATGCAAGGCACAAATCCCATTTTCCTACAACTCCATCAAGCTTCAGCAGCTGGAACCCCCAGCTGATGGCAGCTGTGTGCCCCCAGTGCCCGTGTGGGTGCTGTGGGAGCTGCAGCCCCAGCAGTGCTGGCTGTGTTTCTGTGCCAGGTGTGGGACCTGCGGCAGAACAAGCTCACCTACACCATGCGGGGCCACGCCGACTCGGTGACGGGCCTGAGCCTCAGCTCTGAGGGCTCCTACCTGCTCTCCAACGCCATGGACAACACAGGTACACCCTGCTGAGCCTGCAGGGACACCTCTGCCTGCTCCTCCTGCAAAAACAGTGCTGGGCTGGGCTGCAGGGAGCTGGGCTCCGGAGCTGAACCGTGAGTTTGGGTCCTTGAGGGGGAGAGCAGCTGCCTCAGGGGGTTTGTCCCAGCTGGGAGGGCACTGGGGACAAGAGCCATGGTACAGGTTATCCTGTAGGGCTTGGGGACAAGAGCCATGGCACAGGTTATCCTGCAGGACACTGGGGACAGGAACCGTGGCACACGTTATCCTGCAGGACACATGGCACGGGTTATCCTGCAGGATATTGGGGACAGGAGCCGTGGCACAGGTTATCCTGCAGGACACATGGCACGGGTTATCCTGCAGGATATTGGGGACAGGAGCCATGGCACAGGTTATCCTGCAGGACACATGGCACGGGTTATCCTGCAGGATATTGGGGACAGGAGCCGTGGCACAGGTGACCTGTGCACTCTGGGCCTGGCTCGTGTCAAGGTGGCTTGGCTGTGTCCCCTCAGCAGGAATGACAGCCCAGTGCCACCTTGCCTGTCCCACTGTCCCTGGTGAGGCTGAGCCCCTCAGGACCGTGCCCATGGGATGTGTCAGGATGAGGCAAAGCCTCTGTGAGGAGGTGATGGCTCAGTTTTGGCATGGCAGGTGGGGAATTTTTTGTAATTCCCCCTTGCTGCTGTTTGTGCCAGAGCAAAGCCTCCTGCAGGGAAAGCTGCTGGTTCCCCGTGGCCTTTGGGGAATGGGGGCTCAGGGAGCCTGTCCTGGGCACAGGGGCTCTGCCAGGGCTCCTGTCCCTGTCCCCTCAGCTGCTGGCTCTGGTTCTGTTGCAGTTCGGATCTGGGACATCAGGCCCTTTGCCCCCAAGGAGAGATGTGTGAAGATTTTCCAGGGAAATGTCCATAATTTTGAAAAGGTGAGTGTGCTCCACTCCTTGTTCAATTCCCTCTGCTATTAACTTTTCTCTAATTTGTTTTTTTCAATGCAAGTTTAGGCCAGAAAGGCGCTAATAAGAACTCAAAGGAAGATGAATCCACAAAGTGGGTTCCAATTAAAGCCTCAGTAACAAGATTTCTGTGCTCAGTTCATTTATAATTAGCTGTAAATTAAGTATTTTCTACACTTACCATCTACTTTGTGTAAAATAACTCACTGGCTGTTTCCAGCAATAAAATAAAATCTGTAATTACTATCTCATCTTCCAAGGGAGATCATTAAAGTGGTGCTGGTTAAAGTCTCGTGGTGATTTGAGTTCAAGAAAAGGGGGAAACTAAATAGGTCTGTGCATTTTGTTTTGTTTTAGAACCTTCTGAGGTGCTCCTGGTCCCCAGATGGCAGTAAAATTGCAGGGGGCTCTGCTGACAGGTGAGTTGCCACTGCATTCCTCTGTCCCCTGATGGATTTGCAGCGTTCCTGGATCAGAATCTCCAGGCTCAGACTCGTGTTTGAGTGTGAAATCCCAAACAGCCCTCAGGGAGTTTCCCTGATTTCCACAGGGATGTGTTTCTGCTGCTTTGGGCTCCGTGGAGGAGCATCTGAATGTTGTAAAATCAGGTTGTTATTATTATTGTCAAAAGCTGGCTGAGGCTCTGCCCTGTCCCACCACAGGATCCCCCAGCAGGTGACAGGGACATCTTTGCCACTGGCTTGGACCCCTGGGTGTCCTGGCAGAAGCTTGGGGGGGTCTTTGAGAGCAGGGGTTGGAGGATGAGGAGCAGAAATCCCAGGTAAATTCCTGCATGGTGGGATTCCAGGGGTCATTAATGACTCCTCGTTTAATTAAGGAGAAAAAAAATCAATTGGCACATCTCAGTCTTGTAAATGAAAGATTTTGTAAAATGAGCTGAGGAGGGGAAAGGGCAGAGGGAGGAAGCAGGTCGGGTCTGAAGGTCCCTGTGAAGGACACCAATGTCCCCTGGAGCAAATCCAGGCCCAAATCCAGTGCCAGGGAGACAGGAATTCCTACAGGCTGGGGCCAGGGCATGGGGCCGCAGTAATTACCAGACTAATGAGCTTCTGGTGGCTGAGAGGCAGAACTTGAGCTCTCCCTGTCCAGATTTAGTGGGGCAGCTGTCCCAGCATGAGCTGGGGCTGGATTGTCTCCAGCCCTGCTGGGCTCTCAGTGGGGGGAGCAGGAATTCCTGCCCTGGGGGGAGCAGCTCCTGTCCTGGGGGGATCAGGAATTCCTGCCCTGGGGAGAGCAGCTCCTGCCCTGTGGGTTTCAGGAATTCCTGCCCTGGGGGGAGCAGCTCCTGTCCTGTGGGTTTCAGGAATTCCTGCCCTGGGGGAGAGCAGCTCCTGTCCTGGGGGGAGCAGGAATTCCTGCCCTGGGGGAAGCAGCTCCTGGCTGGGGGGAGCAGGAATTCCTGCCCTGGGGGAAGCAGCTCCTGCCCTGTGGGTTTCAGGAATACCTGCCCTGGGGAGAGCAGCTCCTGTCCTGGGGGGAGCAGGAATTCCTGCCCTGGGGAGAGCAGCTCCTGTCCTGGGGGGAGCAGGAATTCCTGCCCTTGGGGAGAACAGCAGCTCCTGCCCTGAGGGGATCAGGAATTCCTGCCCTGGGGGAAGAGCAGCTCCTGTCCTGGGGGGAGCAGGAATTCCTGCCCTTGGGGAGAACAGCAGCTCCTGCCCTGAGGGGATCAGGAATTCCTGGCCTGGGGGAAGAGCAGCTCCTGCCCTAGGGGGAGCAGGAATTCCTGCCCTTGGGGAGAAGAGCAGCTCCTGCCTGGGCCCCTGTGGGCAGGCTGAGCCCTGCTCTGGGCAGGTGTGCCTGGAGTTTGGGTCGTTTGGTTCATTCTGCAGGTGCTGGTGGAGCTCAGGGCTCTGACAGCTCCTGGGGCAGGTCCCAGCAGAGCTTCCCACGGCAGACACAGGGATTTGGGCTCGGTTTCCCTGACTCTGAGACAGTTTTTAAGAGAAGTGTGAAAGCTGGGCTGTGCCTGGTGCCCCCAGGGAAGGATCCTGGGGGCCTCAGGCAGGAGCCAGCAGTGCCTGAGGCCTGGCAGAGGGTGATCAAAGGGCTCAGGGCGATCCCATCACTCCCTAGTAAATGCTGGCATGTGGCTCCTGTGGCAGAGCAGGGAGAAATCCCATCTTTAGAGCTGCTGGCTGGGAGGGGCTGCAGTGCAGCAGGGGTTGGGGGGCTCTGGGCTCTTCACTGCCAGCCCAAGGGGATGCCTGGACATGCACACAGTGTTGGGGGGTGTTTGGGAGGGTGAGGCCCCTCCTCCTCCCCAGTCCCAGTGCTGACTTACTCCCTGTCCCTGCACTATCAAGGATTTCTTTGGCCTCACAGCTTTCAAATCCATCTCTGTGCCCTGAGGGGTGAGGTGCACTGTTGGCAGTGAGGTTTTTGCCACTCTTATCTCCTCCCTGCTCAGGCCTCTGCTCTCCTGGGCCTGTCAGAGCAGCATTTTTCTCCTGGAAGTTCCTGTTTATCCTCACGAGGATCATTCCAGCCAGCTGCACCTGGGGGCACAGGTGTTTTGCTCGGCCCATGCCTGTCCTCAGCAGGACTCTGTTGCAGGTTTGTGTACGTGTGGGACACCACCTCCAGGAGGATCCTGTACAAGCTGCCTGGCCATGCTGGCTCTGTCAATGAGCTGGCCTTCCACCCCGAGGAACCCATCAGTAAGTGCTCCCCACTCCCAGGGCAGCAGCTCCAGGGCTCACTGAGCTGCTGATCCTCTGGGAAGTGACCTCAAAACTGCCAGAGTGGCTCAGAGTCCATTAGCTGATTTAGGGGTGGCAGAGCCTTCTTTGCTCATCTCCAGTTGGGTGGGGACACCCTGGGTGAGCCCAGGGACTCTGGGACTGGGCTGGGGACACCCAGAGGGCAGCAGGGTGGCTCTTGCTGTGGGCTGGGGGTGGCTGCCACTGCCCAGGGGCCATGAGGAGAGGGTTTGGAATAGTGGAATGCCAGGGGTATGACCATGTTTTGGTGATTCCATGAGGACATGGATCACCTGGGAGCCTGAGGGGTCCTAACTTCCCCAAAGGTTGTAGGAAGCAAATCAGAGAATTATAAAATCACAATCCCAGAATGGTTTGCTTAGAAGGGATCTTACATCCCATCAGTGCCACCCTGCCATGGCAGGGACCCCTCCCACTGTCCCAGGTGCTCCAGCCCCAATGTCCAGCCTGGCTTTGGGCACTGCCAGGGATCCAGGGGCAGCCCCAGCTGCTCTGGGAATTCCAGCCCAGCCCCTTCCCACCCTCCCAGGGAATAATTCCTCCTCAAAATCCCACCCAAAGGAAGCTCTTGGTGCAGTGGGTTTGGGCCCTGTTCTGGACGTGTCTCACACATGGCACCACACTCAGAGCTGGGTGATGCAAAGCTCGTGGTGGCTTCTCAGAGCCATTTGAAGCTGGGACCAGATCCCAGTCCCATTTCCTGGTCCAGCATGGGCTGGGCAGGACTGCAGGGTGCTGTGCTTCCATGGAAACACTCACCTTGGCCTGGTCAGCAGCCAAAAATTGGCATCAGTCAACCCCAAAGGCAGGCCAAGGGGCAGGCTAAGGGGCAGGGAGCTCTGGATTTGTTCCTGGGTATCCAGGGCTGGGGCTGGGGCTGGGCTGGAGAAGCAGAGCAGCTCCTCTCTGGGTGGGATCCTGTGCTCAGCTCCTCTTGGGTCATCAATCACTGGGCTTCAAATAACAGTTTAAAATCCATTACTAAAAACCTATTGAGTCGTGCAGCTGCTGGCTGGGAACTCCTGGGATGCTGATCCATAAATCACTGCAGGGTTCTCACCTGGACAGGGATTAAAGAAAGTTGTATGAGAAATTTCTCTACAAGAATATAAACTCAGAAGGCTTTAGAAAATCTTAAGAATCAGGGCGACAGGTGCCCTGGGGACACTTTCCTGGCCAGATGTGCCCTCTAGAGGCACTCGGTGCTGGCAGAGCCCGGCTGGAGCTCAGCACTTCCCGGCATCAAAATCCCACCTGGGAACCTTCCGGAGGTGTTCCAGCCATTCCCTCAGCTGGGGACAGGGCTGGCAGGGCTGGCACAG